CTGAGATCTATAATTTCCTGCCTTCTTTAGGCTCTGGATTTGACTTGCCCTTCTTTTTCTAGGAACTTGAGGCGCAGCATAAGATTGTTTATTTGTGCTTGCTCTGTTTTCCTAAGGTGGGAGTTCACCACTATAAATTTCCCTCTGAGGACTGCTTTCATTTCATCCCACAGGTTCCTGTACGTTGTATCTCCATTTTCGTTTGATTGTAAATAGTGTTTAATCTCTACTTTGATTTTATCTGTGACCTGTTGGCTGTTCAGGAAGATGTTATTTAATTTCCAACTGTTTATGGAGTTTCTGTTCTTTCTTTTGTCATTAATTTCCAATTTCATTGCACTATGGTCTTTACTAACATGGTTTGAACATGTTCTCTCATAATTGTCTTTGACCTTTTTCTGACAGTTGGTCGTACAGATAAAGATTTTCCTGATGATTAAAAAACAACACAAACTGCATGGTTGTCACAGAAGATGGATGCCGGGAGAGGAAGTCTTGTTGCTGTGTTGAGGAAGAGCAGCTGTATTCCACCTTGCTTTTTTTCTTGTGCCCTAAGTATTTCCAGCAAGCATCTTATAGATATATTTATGCATCTGTTTTTTTCCACTTGGTCTAGAGATCTCTTGAGAGTAATTTGTACGTCTCATTTGTCTTCATTACTTCAGTATCTAGCACAATTTGTGTCACACTGTAACTGCTTTAAAATGTATTTAAATATATCTGAGCCTAGTTTGATTGTCTCTAGGTCCTGCTTCCTGCACTGTATTTTATATGTCCTCTGATTTGTCTTCACAAGGGCCTCTCTTAATCTCCCTCAACACACACATATTCACATACATGTCCATACACATAGACATACAATTTTTCTTTGCACATGGTTCAGGTTCTCATTTGGATTAGTAAGGGAAGTCACTTCGCAGTTTAACTATGAACATGAATGTAACCTTTGCTTTTACATTCTCTCTCAAAATACCTGAGGGCAATCAGTGATATTTAATTTGCCAGAGTGTGGCAGAACTTATCTAGGGTACTGCTGCTAAAATCTTTCTGCAAAATTTGAGTAAATAGTTCCTCTTTTGCTATGTACAATTTCACCAAAGTCTGTGCCCAAAATGTGCAGCTTGGTCTGTTTCTCTGGCACTGAATGGAAACAACTTGTGCTTGGGTGATCAGCGCCAAAACAACCAGTGTGCATGTGCCTGTGAGTGGGTCTGAGTAGGGGAGAGAGAAGGATGAGAATTGGGAAGCCTGGTTATGGTGACAATTTTTCTGTTACAAATATAATACCGGACATAAAGCACATTGACTCAAAGACTTCAATGAATTTTCTTTTTTACCTGATGGCATGTTGCAGGAATCAAAAAAGGAGCATTATACACTTTCCGGAGGTGACAATCTTCTACTGATCCATGTATGAGGAAGACATAGGTTACATTTTCTTCATAGATATCAGTTTTAATGATTCTTGGTATATCTTTTACGTGAATGTTACTGAGCTTTAACTGCATTATATAGTCCCAGTCCTATAAGAGAAATAAAATTTCTTAGTTCATTACTTGGTTATGAAGTTTAATACAAATCCATAGTCAATCTATTTTTCTTTAACTTAATGCTTTGTACTACTTTTACAATGAATTATGAGCAGTTTTGAATGTCACCTGAAATTCTTAAAAAACAGTTGTTAATGGATTCATCTTTTTGATCATTTTTTCTGAAAGAATAGGTAAGTTTATTTTCTTGACATCTTTTTTTATTAGTGCATAGCATTTTTACAGATGAATGGGCTTCATTTGGGCAGATTTGCATATGTACATAGCATAGTTTAATCATTTTTGCCATCCACCCACCCTTGCCTTGCCCTCCCTCCTAGCTTCACATTTTTTCGTTTGAGTTGCAATGCATTTAATACATTTTGATCACATCCATTCCCTCATTACCTGCCCTTATAGCCTCCCTCCTCCTCCTCATGTCTTTACGCTTGTCTAATAAGAGTTTCTGTCCTGCTTTTTTTGTCATCTGTTTTAGATTCCACATATTAGGGAGAACAGGCAATCTTTGTGTTTCTGAGTCTGACTTCATTTGCTCAACACAATGACCTCCAGATCTACTCATTTTCCTGCAAATAACAAAATTTTATTCTTCCTTAAGGCTGAATGATGTTCCATTACATTTACACGTCACATTTCCTTTATCCATTCATTTGTTGATAGATATTCAGCTGGTTACATTTCTTGGTTATCATGAATTGTGCCACAGTAACTGTGGGTTTGCAGATATCCTTGTAATTAATTTTAAGTGCTTTGGGTTTATAGCAAGGAGTTGTATAGCTGGATCAAACGGTAGATCTAATTTTATTTTATTTATTTTTTGTTGTTTTTTAAATATTTTTTAATTTTTTTTATTTTAAAGATAAAAGGAGGGAAACATTAACAGACATACAACATTTTACAACATATCACAAGCACAATACAGACAGTACAGACTACAAACAAAGTGGTAGGGAATTAACAATGGTGGTTGTATTACATATTGATATCTTCAAAGTGGCTTCTCATGAAAACAGATATAGACATGCAATAATGGTCAACCAAAGGTAGATCTAATTTTAGTTTTAGGTTGTTTTGAGAAACCTCCAGATTGATTTCCATACGGCCTGTACTAACTTACATTCCCACAAACAGTGTAGAAATTTTCCTCCACCCAGCCCCTGCATCACAACCACATTTCTTTTGGTATTCTTGTGGATAGCCGTTCTGCCTGGGATGAGATGGAATCTCACTGTAGTTTTGATTTGCATTTCCTTGATGGCTAAAAGTGTTGAACACTTTTGTATATACTTAGTGGCCATTTGCACTTCTTTTTGAGGTGTTCATTTGCCCATCTACTGATTAAGTTATTTCAGTTTTCAGTGTTTTTTGAGTTCTTTATATATCCTAGATATTGATTCTTGGTTAGAAGAAGAGCTAGTAAAGATTTTTTCCCCATTCTGAAGGCTGCCTGTTATTTTCACTTTCTGTGCAGAAACTTGTTAATTTGATGCACAGCCATTTGTTTACTCTTGCTCTTATTGCCAGCAGGAGTCCTATTCAGAAAGTCTGCCTGTGCTTATGCTTTCAAGTGTTTCCCTGATGTCTTTCCTTAGTAGTTTCAAAGTTTCCTATCTACTATCTGGGCCTTTGATCCATTTTTGTTAGATTTTATTCTTTTTGGTACTGGGAATCGAACTCAAGACCTTGCACTTGCCAAGCAGGTGCTTGTGCCACTGAGCTATATCCCCAGCCCTTTTGCTTAATTTTTATACAGGGAGATAGGGATCTAGTTCCAATATTCTTCATGTACACGTCCAATCTTCCCAGTACCATTTGTTAAAGAGATTGCCTATTCTCTGATATGTGTTTTGGTGACTTTGTCTAGACTCAGATGGCTGTAGCTGCAGGGGTTTCTTCTATGTGTGGTCCATTGTATTCCATTGGCACATGTGTGTATTTTTGCACCAGTACCATCCTGGTTTTGTTACTATGGTTTTGTAGTATAATTTGAAGTTGGATATTGGGATGCCTCCAACCCTGCTCTTCCTGCTAAGGATTCTTTTGGTATTCTAGGTTTTTGTGTTTCCAGATAAATTTTAGAATTATTTTTCTAGATCTCTGAGGAATGTCACTGGTACTTTGATGAGGCTTACATCTGGAGGTAGCTTTTGATAGCATGGCCATTTTAACAGTATAAATTCTGCTAATCCAGGAACATGGAAGTTGTACCACCATCCAGGGTTTTCCATTTCTTTCTTCAGTGCTGTGAAATTTTCTTTGTAGACTTATTTCATCTCCTTAGTTAGACTGATCCTAAGTATTTTAGTTTTAAAGCTGTTGTGACTGTAATTGTTTTCTTAATTTCTTTCCCAGCCAGTCCATTTGTAGTGCATAGAAAATCTATTGCCTTTTGATGTTGATTTGATATCCTGCTTTACCCAATTGTTAGCACTGAAATTCCTTTGCAATGGGATCCTACCATATGTAAAGCAGGATGATTTGACTCCTTTCTTTTCTTTTCAGTATGCCTTGTCTTTCTTGCTCTTATCTTTCTTGCTCTGGCTATTTCAAGAACTATGTTGAATAGGAGTGGTAAGAGTGAACAACCTTGCCTTGTTTCTCATTTTACAGGAAATGAGTTCAGTTCTTTTTTTTTTTTTTCCAATAAGAATGATGTTGGCTATTTGTCATATATGGCCTTTATTATATTAAGGAAAGGATTCTTTATTACTTACTTTCTTCAGGGCATTTATAACGAAGGGATGTTGAATTTTGTCAGAGACTTTTTCTGTACTAATTGAGATGATCACGTGATGTTAGCCTTGATTTTATTCATGTAGTGTACCACATTTATTGATTTACATATGTTAAATTACTCTTGCATACTAGGAATGAAGTCAACTTGATCATGGAGTATGGTCTTCTTAAGATCCTGTTGAATTCAATTTGCAAGCATTTTATTTAGTATTTTTGCATCTATCATCATCAAGGATATTGGTATGTAGTTTGCTTTCCCTTTCTCCCTTCCTTTTCCTTTCCTTAATTGTATTGTACCCTTGTCTGGTTTTAGAATGAGGGTGATGTTGGCCACATAAAATGAGTTTGGAAGTGTTCCTTCCTTTTCTATTTCATGGAGTAGCTTCTTTTCACTCTGTTAAATTATTTGTATTGCCTGGTTGATTCATTTCTGTTGGAGTTCATGGAATTAGTCCTTGTCATCTGTTTCTGAAATACCCTTCAGAACATTTTGGAGTGCTTGTTTGGTGGTCATGAATTTCTTCACTTGTTCTTTTTCATGGAAGTATCTCATTTCTCCATTAATTTTGAAAGATAGTTTGTAGGGTACATCAATCTGGGCTGGAGGTTGTTTCATTTTAGAGCTTGAAATACTTCAAGCTCTCCTTGACTTTAAGGTTTCTGTTGCAAAGTCTGCTGTGATTTTGACAGGCTTTCCTTTATAATTTAATTCTTTCTTTTCTGTAGCAGCTTTCATTATTTTTAAATTTTTGTAGCCAGGAAATGAACTCAGGACCTTGTGCTTGCCAGGCAGGTGCTGTGTAGGAGCTTTTAATATTCTGGTCCTGTGTTGAATTTTTAGAATCTTGACTGTTATATGCCTTGGTGTAGGTTTTTCTGATCATGGCTAACTGGAGTTCTATATGCCTCATTTATTTGTATGTCAAATTATTTTTCCATGCTTGGGAAATTTTCTGTTATTACTCTGTGAACAGTTTTTTATGTCATTTGTGCAATCTCCTTTTTCATTGACTCCAATCAATCTCTCATTATTCTTCTTTGCATCATCTAGCCAATTTTGGATTGCTTTTTCCTAGTCCCTTGCTATTTTTAAGAAATCTTTCTTTTCATGATTGCTAACTCCAATCCTGTCTTGTGTTTCTGATATTCTGTCCACACATTGGTTTATTCTGCTGCATATACTTTGAATGGAACTGTTAATTTCCTAGACATCTGCTTGAATCTGTCTCATGGATTCCATTTCTTTCTTATATTGGGGTGTTCATTGTTTCCATCATTTTCCCAAGGTCCTCTATTTTTTCTTAATCTGTATTTGCTCTAGCAGATGAAGATAATGAAGATAATCTTCATTATGTTCACCATCTGTGTAGTTATCTGAGAAATTATTTCTGATTTGATTTTTTTCTAGAGCCACATTCAACTTTGTTATTTCTGCTGATGTCATCCATGTGGGTGGCCTTTGAATTTTTTCCACCCTTTGTCCCATGGGTTTGTCTTTGGTCAGTTGGATGTTTCAGGTTGCATTTTGCCTCTTGTCTTCTTTATATATATATAAAATTCCTTGGTTGATGCTTGTAAATTGCTTATGGCTGGTAGCTTTATTGTTGATATTGACAACCATTTGGAAATGACTACTTCTCAGAGATGTCTTCCAGGCCTGGCTGGGTTTGGTTTTGAGTCTGTTACAAGATCCTACCTCTTCAGTTTATTGGGGATGAGATGTTGCTGCCTATTTGGCCTAGTCCCCGGATTCTGGGCACTCACTTATTGTTTATGGCCCTCAGGCAATCCTAATCTTGGCATGCCAGAAACAACAGTTGATCAGAACAATTGTATCATCTTGGCTAAAATAGTACAAGCAACAAAAACGCTAACATCAAATGCAGCCTAAAAAATGCCAAATTGTGCTATTAATTACCACCTTTAACCATATTAACTGGATGTGTAGCTTTATAACAAAATCTGAAACAATCTAGAAAATTGTGTATAGTACTATGCCTTCAATATGGTGATTTTACTCTCAGAGGAGAAAATTTAAAAGGAGTTAGAAAGAAACAGAAATAAAAGAAGAGACAAAATTAGAAGCATGGCTGGAAGGCAAAGGAAGTTTATGCAAACTTTGGGATACTGGTGAAGAGCACTGGAGGGAAAGAGGGAAGGAAGAATGAAAAACAAGAACAGAGGAAAACAGCAGCAACAAAAAACTAGAGCCAATGTCTGCTCTCTTATATATATAAGAACAAACAATAAAGAAAAAAGTTTTTAAAAAAGGAAGAAAAGAAAAAAAAAATATGTACATACACTTCAGAGCATATCTCCACTGTCGGAGTGGGCAGACAGAGCCCATAGCTATGTTGATTAATCCCAGTAGCAGATTTACAGTGGAGTAGTTTATAATTCCATCAAGGATGCACCTTATGTTTTACTGAAGTTTAGTCCAGTTTCTGGGTTTGAGGCTGGAACCTGAGCTGCCCTGCTGGTTTGAACTGAGGTTGCTGCTAGCTTGAATGTAGCTCCTTGACCTCCTCCTAACTTCAACTTAGTTCTGCCTCACCTGACACTGAGATCTGCAAGATGGAGCCAGCCTGCAGTTATTCTGAGTTCTGAACACATTTGGCCCCTCTGACAGATGTCTACCAGCCAACTGTGCTCTCCTGGGGGACATCTGAACCCACATAACTCACCATCCACTGCAGTTCACTGCATTCACCACTGTTTTCCATGGTGTCCTTATCTATGGAGGCCTCTGGGATTGCCAGTCGTCACTGTGCATCTGTAGGTATGAGCTGCCCCTCCCATGCAGGGAGTCAGGGCTCAGGGAGGAAATGCTGTTTGCCACCTTCTTCTGCTTGAAGACTCTCTGCTCTCCTTGTGGGCTTCAATTCTTGCTTCATATCCTTGCTGGGTCCCAGGGACCCACTCTCTTCTTTCTCTTCCTCTTGTTGCTATATTCTAACATCTGGCACAAAATGTGAGACATTCTTTCTCTGCTGATCACTATTCCACCATCTTCCTAGTAGCCCCCCTGGATGAATTTAAAGATAGCACTTACACTCAGAATGGGAACTTGCAGAACTGACTCAACTTGATTTCTGTCACGGTTTTCCAGGCAAGTGTTCTTCAGGGTGCTCCAGGTCTAAAAGCTGTTTTTAATATTTCATGTATTTGCATAGTGAGATTTGCATATATGTTATGATAGATATGTCTTCTAGTTTTGAGGGTCTTAATGTCCAACCTTCTTTTGAGGGGTGATCCCCCACAAGTCAGAGAGGAGGAGAAATCTCATCACAATAATGTAAATGGCACAAAGATAAATCAGATATTGACATATAGCAAAAAACCAAAAGTTTTATCACCATTAACAGCAGAGAAGAAATCAGCAATAATAAAATAGAGTAAGTGGAAAGACTAAAAATTAGTAAAAGTTAATAGTAATAATAATAAAAGTGAAGGGTATAAGGAGAGGCAAAATGTAAAAGTAGTAAACTTTGAGAAATAGAGAAAAACAAGTTGAGAAGGAGGAGTAAAGAAAATCAAGTTAAAATTGAATTAAAGTATTAAAAAAGTAAAAAGAATTAGATAACAGTAATTTAAAAAAGGATAAACAAGGTAAGGAAGGAAAAAAATAGAAAAATCCAACTAAGGAAAGAAAAAAATAAAGCCAAGGAGGAAAAATAGATAACAAAAGACTAAAAAACAAGAGAAATGAGAAAAAACCTCCCCATGCTGAAGTTTTTTTTTTTTTAACCCACGTATGGTTTTATTTATTTATTTATTATTTATTTAAAAGAGTAAAAGAAGGATAACAGAGTAATGGGGGATCTACTGAATTACAGACAAAGTGGTAGGACATTATCAATTGTTGTTATTTTGCCTATTGGTATCTTCAAGATAGTTTCTCAGGAAAACAAATAGACAAATAATAGTGAGTTACAGACAAAAATGGTAGGAAATTATCAACGGTTTTTATATTATACTTTGGTTTCTTCAAAGTGGTTTCTAGGGAATACAAATAGAGCTATACCTGAGTGATCAATTAAATAATCATTGACTATTCTCAATGGTTGTTGTTGAAGACACATAGTAATAAACATACATCCATTTATGAAATAGAATAGGAACAACAGAAACATTACAGAGTTATGGACAGGTTGGTAAGAAGTTATCAATGGCTGCTGTAATACATGTTGGAATTTTCAAAGTGGTTTCTCAGGAAAACAAAGATATGCAAGAAAGATCTAACAAGTAGTTATAGCCTAAGGGTTTTGAAAAATAGCAGATTACCTTCTCATCAGTGACTTTTTTCACTGAGGTGTGAACACTGGAAGGAGGGCCAGGATTGAAAAGAAGGACTGAGAGACTAGCACCAGTGTCCAGCAATAGGGGGCTTCTTAGGGCAGTCCCTCTTGCGATGGCCTGGCTTTTGACAGCGGTAGCAGATGAATGTAGTTGACGAGTTCTTCTTGGGGCCCCAAGAATCAGATTTAGGGTCTGTTTCTCTTAGTGCTGCAATGAAGGCAGCTGTTATGCTGAGATGTTTGGATTGGTAATTTCCAGGAACTGTAGCACTGAAATCATCAGATATGGGAGGGAGAGACAGCACATATCACTTAAGACCTCTTTTATTTCCTAAATTTATGAAATAGACTCTTGCTGTGTGGATCCATTGTGTACACTGGGGCTTTTGGCCTCTTTATCTTGTTTTTGCAAGGTCAGTTTCCCTCTCCAACACAGGAGTTAGTGTTAGCATTCTAGATTGCTTCATTCTTTTCTTGGTGTTGCCTCCTTGTTCTCCTGAATTTTTAGCTTTCCTGTTGGAAAGTTTCTGGGTGAGCTTTCTTGATTCACAGAGCTCTTCTCTTTATTCTCATTAAATAGTTGTTTTCCAGATGTCTCATTCCAGGTCCTAGGAAGGCAGTGATTTACTGCTGACTTGGACTCTGCCACCTTTAACCTTTGACTGTAGTCTGTTTCTGAGAGTATTTTAATCCAGTTTTATTTAGAGAAAAGGATTAGTTTCCAAGAACATGTCTTACCTCAAAAGACAAATGTTCCCTGGTTTTCCTGGCAGCCACACCACGTCCAATTTTTAGCCACATTTTATGTTCAAGGAGAGGATAGTATTTTTCAAAGGCTTCAAACAAGAGAGTTTTGGGAATAAAATATGTCTGCAAAAAGAAAGACATGCATTTAATATTTTATTCTGTCATCTGTGCTTTAGGAAATAAGGTTATCCTCATTATAATAACATCAAAACTAAGAATTTAAAATATGTAAGATTCATCCTATGGCCCAGAAACCTATAAAATGTGTATATTCACAACTAATTTGTAGTCTCATGATGTATTGGATCATGTAAAGGCCATATGATTCAATGGGAGATTCTTCAGTGTTCTTTTTAAAACTTACATATATAAATATATTGTGGTATATTATATATGTACTATTGTGAAATTGTCAAATAACATCTCATAGTTTATACATGTGTACTTTTTATTAATTTATTTTAAATTTATATGTAATAACTGTGTATATAATGGAGTACAATGTGATATTTTCATCTATGCATACAGTAATAGCATATTGTTTTTGTAATTTTGAATACACTATTATTAACTGTGGTCATAATGTAGTGCCACTAATTACTAAACTTTGTCTCTAAATGGATTACTAAAATTTGTACCCCCACCTTAACTGAAAAGTTGTACTCTATGATCAAAATCTCCCTTATTCTCATCCTTTCATTGCCATCAATTTCTGGGTACCACTTTTCTACTTCATTTTTATGAATATATGTTTTTAGATTCCACAGAGGTGAGATCATGCAGTATTTTTCTTTCTATTTCTGATTTATTTCATTTAGTAGAATGCCCTCCAGACCCATATTGTTTTGAAAGAGAATTTTATTCTTGTTTAAAGTGGACGAATATTCCATTGTAAAATACTTTTTCTTCAATCATTCATCAGTTGATGCACACTTAGGTTGTTTCTGTATCCTAGCCTGTGAATAATGCTGCAATAAACATGCGAGTGTAGATGTTTATCAGCATGTAGATTTTATTTCCTTTGAACATAAATCCAGTAATGGGATGGCTGGATCATATAGTGGTTTACTTTTAATTTTTAGAAGAACTTCCATACAGTCATCTATATGGCTTTACTAACTTATACTCCTACAAATATTGTGCCAGGGTTCACTTTTCTAGCATCTTCACCACACTTTGCTATCTTTTATCTTCTTGACAGTAGCCATTCTAACTAAAGTTCAGTGAACTTCATTGTTGTTTTGATTTTAATTTTTCTGGGGGTTAACAGTGTTGAGCACCTTTTCATCTACATAATGTCAGCCATTTATATTACTTCTGTGGAAAAATATCTATTTAGGTCCATTGTCCATTTAAAAATCAGATTATTTATTGCCTACTGAGTTGAGTTTTATATATACATATACTTATATATATATTTAATTGCATTAGTTTTTATTTATTTATTTTTTATTTTAAAGAGAAAAGAACAAAAACAAAATAACAAAAACAAAGACCAAAACAAAGCCACACAAAAACTATAAAAATGATACCAAATTTCAAAACAAGATGAGAGGAAATCAACAATGGTTGTTGTATTACTTATTGTCATTTTCAAAGTAGTTGCTCAGATTGCCAGATATAGGAATGCAAGATTTTTTTTTTTTTTTTTTTTTGGTTTTTTGGTTTTTCTCCAGTACCGGGAACCAAACTCACGACCTTGGGATTGCCAGGCAGGCACTTTGCCTCTGAGTTAAATCCCCAGCCCCAGAATGCAAGATTGATCAAACAATTAAACATTAACTGTTCCTTTCAATAAAAATTAGAAATTAGTACCACAATTATCTTAGCTATCTTGTGTACATATACATATATTTTTTCTTCCCTTCTTTCTTTTTTCTTTTCCTTCATCCCAGTTGTTCTTTTCTATTGAGCAGCTTCTTTCCCTTTCACAATATCTATTGTATCTTTCAGATTTTATTTACTTTTTCAGGTTCTTATAGTAGGGAGACAATCCGGTGTTTACACATGCAGGTCTGATTTGTTTCACTTATGAATATGGTTTCTAGTGGCATCCATTTACCTATAAAAGCATCGAGTTTAACTTTCTTTATAGCTGAGTAATACTCCATTGTATAAAACTACCACATTTTTTTTATCCACTGCACAGCTGGTGGGCATTTGGGTTGTTTCCAAACTGCATAGGAAACACTTCAAAGAATCAACTGCATGGGAAACACTTCAAAGAATCAACAACTGGAATTTCATCCTATTAAAAAGCTTTTGTACTTCAAAAGAAATCACCAATAGAGTGAAAATACACCCCATAGAGCGGGAAAACATTTTAGCTAACTGTCCCTCAGAAAAAGGACTTATATCTAGACCATATACAGAATAGAGAAAGCTCAGACCCCCCAAATTCAAAGACCCAATCCAAAAATGGGCATCTGAGAATGAATACACACTTCTCAGATAAAGAAATACAACTGGCAAATAAATACACGGAAAAATGTGCAGCATCATTGGTCATTCAAGACATGCAAATGAAAACAACACTGAGATTCCATCTCACCCCAGTAAGAATGGCTACCATCAAGAAATCAACCGAGAACAAATGCTGGAAGGGCTGTGGGGGAAAAGGAACCCTTCTCCAGTTTGTGGCAATGTAGATTGGTGCAATCACTTTGGAAATCAGTCTAGAGAGTCCTCAAAAATTTAGGATTGGAGGTCCCACTTAACCCAGCTACTCCCCATCTGGGTATTTTCCCAAAATATTTAAAAACATCATACCACAGTGGCATATGTGCACCCATGTTTACAGTAGAACAATCTGTCATAACAATATCTTGAGTTCCTTATATATTTTGGGTATTAACCCTTTTCAGATATATGGTCCGCAAATATTTTCTCCTATTCTCTAGATTGTCTCTTTACTTTGTTGACTATTTCCTTTGCTCTACAAATGTAATCCCATTTGTCTGTTTTTTCTTTCTTTACATTTTTGAGGTCCTATCCAAATACTCTCTGCCCATTCCAATGTTCTGAAGCATTCGTCTATTTTTTTTATAATAGTCTCGTAGTTTTTGGTATTAACCTACATTTAAATCCTTAATCCATTTATGAGTTAATTTTTTATATGATGAGAGTTAGGGATCTAAGTCTTATTTTTCTGCATGTGGATATCCAGTTTCCTGAGCACCACTTATTAAAGAGATGTCTTTTCCCCAGTATGCATAGATCACTAGATAGTATGTGCATATTTATACTGATTTTTCCAATCCATGAACACAGGAGCTCTTTCTATTTATTGTGTTCTATTCAATCTTTAATTTTTTGTACCTGTTGTAAATGAAATTGCTTTTTTGATTTCCAGTTTGTGTAATTCACTATTAGCACACAGCGGTGCTTCTAATTTTTTGCATGCTGGTTTTGTATCCTATACTTTTGCTGAATTTGTTTATTACTGCTCCTAGTTTTCTGGTGGTATCTTGAAGGTTTTCTCGTTTTTGAATTTTTTTGGAGCAGGGTCTCACTATGTAGTTCAAGATGACCTTGAACTCAATATGTGGCTCAGGCTGAACTTGAACTCACAGCTATTTTGCTCCTTCAGCCTCCCGAATGCTGGGGTTATAGGCGAGCGTCACCGCACATGGCCCTTAGAAAGATTTGACTTCTTCCCTTTTTGCTATATTTGCTATGGGTTTGTTAAACATGGCCTTTATTATGTTGAAGTATACTTCTTCTATACCTAATTTGTTCAGAGCATTTATTGTGAAGGAATCTATTCTTAACAACTACTATAATAGGATCTTACCTTATTAAAAAGCTTTTGCACAATAAAAGAAATCACCAACAAAG